TGTTAGCTCTTTCAATAAATGTCCTTCAATCAATGTCCATGTTCAAGCATGATGCACCTTAAAATTACTTGTGTACTGCTCTTATCTTGCTAAAGGAACCAGAAATGCCTTGAAATTATATACAAGAAGCCACTGCAATAGCGAGTTTGAATTTCTAGAAATGTGTGAGAAATTGCTCTAAGAGGTGGCTCTATTTCTGTGGGTTACTTCACATCATTGTGATGCACGCATTAAGAATTCTTCATCCCTGACAAGGAGTCCTCTTTCTCCAGGCATTTCTTGGACTCACCCACATGAGAGATACTCGCTTCAGTCGTGGACACTGTTGAGGGAAAATCAAAACTCATGCAGTAAATGCAATAATGAAATAACAGCCCAAGAAGAAATAAGATCCAAATAATACCTTCCCAGGACAGCCAAGCAAAAAAGATCCAACAGACCTGGTCAGTTGATTTTCTTTTCCTCTCTGTGACCTTAGTGTTTATGCTTTGCCCTATATGAAATTGGCAGGGAAGGTGGTAGAACATTATGGAAAGGAATGTGTGGGCTTGGGTGGGGTGGAGTTTTAAGAGACTTTGCAGAACATCTAGTCCTGTGCTTGTACTTTACCCACGGCAGTAGATGGGGCAGGGAGGTCACTGGGCTTCCAGAGGTCAGGCAGATAATTAGTGATGAAGCAGGACTCAGACCATTTGAGTCCTGATACTTTGACAGAGTGCTTTAATGGGGACAAGAAAGCGGGGGGGCGGGGGAATTAAGAGAGGAACTGTATTTAGATTTAGTGACATGAAATTGATGGAAAATATCTTATGTGGTCTAAGAGAAAACAAGTTAAGATTGTTCGTGTTTATCACATATTTGGTTTTGGCCTTTTCCTGCGTTTGTGTGTGAAACTTTTATGTTCAATATATCTGAAAGGGCATTCTCATACAGAGTCTCTACAGTGGAAATTTCCTTTTCTCAGGAGGAAGCAAGAGAAAACTTAGACATAAAATGCCTCAGCAAATGGAGCACCTTTTTTTTTTTTTAAAGTAATGCAACCAGATTTAAGCCATCACATGCCTTTAGTAAAATAAAATAAATAGCACAGTTTTTTTTTTTAACTCTTCTGCTAGCTCTCAAGGAACAATTCTTAGAAACACAACATGAAAGAAACTTCTAGACTATTGAATCCCCAATTTGTGATGTGTCAGCAAAGGAATGGATTAGTACCTACATCTTTCACAATTAACAAAAATGATCTAAAATTTTTGTATAAATTAGCCTCATGTATATAAAAGAATCACAAAATCCCTTTGAAGGCATAACTTAGACAGGAAGTTGCGTTTTAACAGTGATGGAATACATGGCTTAGCCAGAATTCAGAAATCTATAGTCAGTGTGATCCCGGGCTTATTTGGGGGGAGAGTTTTCAGGAAATGTTAATTAGTGAGAAATCTTGGATTAATCCTGAGATTTAAATGACTGACTTTCTCTGAGTTGAAGTGCAGTTTGCCTTGACTTTGAAAAGCAGCTTGGGTGTTTTCACCAGTTCTTTATCCTTGGTAGAAAATGCTCTTTCATTTTTTTTCAACTTTAATTGATTTAGGGTGGATCCTACATTTAGATATCACATCCCTAAAGGGTCTGGTTGTGAAATGAAACTGGAAGTTGGAAAGTATTGGACTGGGATGAAGGGGCCACTGTGATTGCCTGAGGGAGTCCGCCAACCAATTTTCATTTGCCTCTTTGGTGTCCTTCGATAAAGGAGAATGAAGAGAGGTGGTTAAAAAGAAGAAGAAAGAAAATTCAAAGAACTTTTTAAAAAAAGTCAGGTGCAAGGAGCAACACACAAGTAGAGAAAATTGAACTTTGAGACAGTTCACAACAGACACCCGTTGAGGTTCTCCATAACAATGCAACCATTGTGTGCCGTGGCGTCATGAGTCTTTTTTCAATCAGGACAGGTAGCTAAATAAATAAATGAATAATAAATGCAACCTCGCACCATTTTCTAGATCTATGGACAAAATTGTATGTGTCTAAAGAAATTACTCGACTGCTTTGAGAATCCGGTAAGACAATGAGAACAGTTGAGTTTGGGGTCAGATGTGGTTTTGCATTTCTTTTCTTTTGGCTGAAATAACGTTCCCTGCATAATCATGACTTAAAACCGGTAAACAAGACTGGACACCGCGTAAGGGTTGGTTGCAGCTCACGTCGCACCGCTGGTGGATCTGGAGAATTTGATTTCCTTCCAAACAAGAGGTACCCGGAAGTCCTGTGGGGCGCCAAGAGTTGGTGGGCGGTCTGGGGACGCCCTAAGGAGTGGCGCAGGCTGGGGCGCCCGGCACTGCCACAAGCTCATGGCTTTGGGGAGTTGGGTGATCCGGTGTTTGCTCCGGGCCATTCCCGTCCGAGAGCGCTTTGCGTTCGGGTAATGGATAAAACCGTGACTACACGGCAGAGAAGGATGCGCTGGCTAAGACTTCCGCGCTCTGAGTCTCAAAGGATGACATCGAATCGGGTTCCTCCTCCTACCGAAGGCTCCGCTGTGTGTCGAAGGAGAGAGAAGAAGTGCCTCGGGTTTTTGAGACTTGGGGCTAGAGCACACATTCTAGATTCCGTTGCCTGGAACCACCTTTGGGTGCTGTAGGAGGCGGGTGGTGCAGGTGGGATGGATAATGTTGAGGGACCGGATTCGGTTGTTTTAAAGAGTCTCTGCCAACAGTGACCTCCGTTGCAAGAGCTCAGAGCTACGGTTTGGTGTCCCCAAAAGTTGGGCAGCAGGAAACTCCAGGAGTTGCAAAGGAGGCCTGGAGATTAAACCGCGCACCTTAGCGAGTACGGATAACCGAGTGACTCGGCTTTTCTGGATCTTAGGTGGCTCAGGTAACAAATGGAGGCGTGATAGGCCAGGGAAGGGGCTTTACACCTCCTAAAGTGTTCTCCAAAATGTAAGGATATAGGATGACAGGCAGTGCTCAGCTCTCCTGACTTCCAGTACTCGGCCTGAGTCTCCGATCTCCGCCAGACGTTTTGGCAAAGGGCCCTACAGAGGTCGCGGCGAGAGCCATTTCTGAGCACATCTTTCCGATTCTTGTAGATCAGATAAAGCATCAGTCAGGGATCTGTCCCACGCAATCTTAGCCCTTGTCCCCTTCACCCCTTCTGTGGTCCCTAGCCATCCCGGCTCCTAAGCGGACCCCAGTTGAGGGCTGCGCTGAGATGACAGCACAAGGGAGGACCGCAAGGGTCCCAGGATGTGGGACCAGCGAGTGCTTCTAGAGAGGGAGACAGAGAGATGGGCATCAAGAAACGGGGAGTGGGGGGTGGGGTGGGGAGATTTTACTCTCTATTGCAAAGACCTGGAGCAAATGTGTCTGTCGGTTTCCCAGTTGAGTAGAACCAAGCTCCACACTTCCATCTTCGAATTGCTTCTCAGCTTCGTAAGCCGAGCATCTCGTCGACCTGGGCGTCGCCAGCTTTTCTGCAGGGTGGACATTTCTTTTGGGTTCTGTCCAGTCATTGTGCCCAAGGCCGGGGAAGCGCTTGTGTCACCCCCCCCCCAACCACGCCAGTGACAAAGTGTCTGCGGACCCCGCAGCCCAGGCTGCGCTGCCTCTCGTAGATCACGCCGGGCCTTGTTTGTTTGTTTGTTTGTTTTTCTCAGTCTGGTGCACGAATTCTTTGCCCACCCAATAAGAACGGGTCCCGGCCAGGTATCCAACGAGACGGATGGCTAGCCTTGTCACCCGCACCCGGGGTAGACCGCAGCTGGCAGATCTCCCCCGCAGTCACAACTTAATTTCTAGCCTCTGGTGGTAAGATCTCAGGGAGAACCTCTCCCCGGTGGGCTAAGCGACTTTCGAATGTTCGTAGAGAAAGGCACAATTAAAGAACCTGGTGGGGCGGATCCGGTGGGGCCGAGGTTGTTCTTGGGATCGCATTTCTCCTCTCTTCGAAAGGTCTTGGGAGGAAAAGCACAAGTTTGTGCTCTGGGTGGACCTAGGCATTGCAAACCCAGAGCACAAACAGCGGCGGAGGAAACGCGGACTCAGTCGGGGTGTAGGTGTGGAGGGGTGTGTGGAAATGCCGGCAGGGTGAACTTTCTGCAGATAGTGTAAGGAGGGAGCAAAGGAGAGGGGGGTGGGGGGAAGCCGGACCCGAGGAGCCGCGTGGCGTGGACGGTGCCTGCTGGGGGAAGTGTCCTGTGCACCGGAGCTTGGCTGGGGCGAGATGTGGCGTGGAGGGCGGAAGGGGTCCACCACGAGCTGCAGACTAGTTGGCTTGTGATATTTTGCAAGCGCGGAAAAAGGTCGCTGAAGGAGTTTGCTGCACTGAGAGACAGAGAGAGAGAGAGAGCGAGAGAGAGAGAGAAAAAAAAAATCTTAAAAAAAGAGTGCCGGGCATGCGCACAGAGAGGATGCCATATTGGAATGAGGTTGTAGTGGGAGCTGGAGTACCCGAGCCGCCGCGCGAGGGAGGCGGCGGGGAGCGAGCGAGAGAGGGAGGGCGGGCGAGCGGAGCCAGCGCCCTCTGCAGCCGCACTCCGGGTCGGGGGTCCCAGCCCCGCAGGACAAACTTCACCAGGTAGGACGCAGCGCCAGCCGCTGTCCCCGCACCCAACCCGGCCCGCGAGCAGATCTCCGGCCCGCAGGTTGAGTGCGCCGATCGGCGTCCTTTTTCCAGCTTAGGAAAAAA